TGGATCAGGACCAAATCAAGGATTAAGCCAGGGTGCTCAGGGACCAGCTGGGGACCAAGCCAGGGTGCTCAAAGACTGCATCAAGACCATGCTGGGGACCAAGCCAGGATGCTTCAGGATCGAATCAGGAGCAAACCAGGGATTAAGGCAGGGTGATCAGGGACCAGCTCAGGATGAAGCCAAGAACCCAGCTGGGGTGTTTAGGCATCAGCTGGGAACCAAGCCAGGGTGCACCTGAACTCAATCAGGACCAAGACAAGGATTAAGCCAGGGAAATCATGGACCAGAGCAGGACCAAACTGGGAACCAGCCCAGGGAACTCGGTGCCTGGATTGGGACCAAGCCAGGGGTTTTGAGGACCAGCTGGGAACCAAGTTAAGGACCAAGACAGGATGCTCAGGGACTGGATCAGGATCAAACCAGGGTGCCTGGGAACCAAGACAGTGACTAAAACAGGGCATTCAGGGACCAGATCAAGACCAATTTGGGAATCAAGCCAGGGCAGGATCAAGCCAGGGATTAAGCCAGACTGTTCAGGTACCAGCTCAGGACTAAGCCAAGGACCAAAACAGGGTACTCAGGGGCTGGATCAGGACCAAGCCAGGGACAAAGCCAGGGTGCTCAGGGACTCAATCAGGACCAAGCCAGAATAGTCAGGGATTCAATCAGGATCAAGGCAGAGATGGGAATGGGATGGTCGGGGACTGTCTCGGGACCAAAACTCAGTCCTGACACCTGTGGGTCCAGCCCGGGACGGGGAAGGAGCAAGGCAGGTGCCCAGGCTGTGCCACACACCCCCGGGGGAGGATGCTCGGGATGATCCCAGCCGGGAGCTTCCAGGGGCAGGGGCTTCATCGGTGGGGGCGAGGGGAGCCTTGGAGGGTAGAGGGGGAGCAGGGGGGGCAGAGGGGGAGCAGGGGGCGGCCATGGCAGCCAGGCCCGCGGTGTTCGTGGGGACACAGGCAGAGGGAGCTGTGCGGGAGCAACGCGGCAGCGAGACGAGCCGGGCTCCGGCTGCAGAGCAGAAGGAGGAGGAGGAGGAGGAGGAGGAGGAGG